AACATAATATACTCTGCATACTACTCTGCATAGCAAAGGTAAATTTGTGTATGCCTTAAATAACCATAATTACATTTCACAATGGTAACTGCAGAATGACTGTGACTTATGGACACAATTAAGGTTTATGTCACGTTGCTTGATTATGTCAAATCTTTAAATGTCTACATTGCAAAATGGATGGGTCCTTGCATGTGACTGTTTTCATCCAGTTGTGATCAAGTGCCAAAAATCGGCTGATATACACTTTAACACGCTTTGCATTTGGAAAACTTTTTAAAGAACTATTTTTGCGTATACAGTCTGTATGAGGCATAATGAAGTCACAATTCCCTGTAGATGAAGCTGTGAAGTTCATGCACCCAGCTGCCACTTTATTTTTAACTCAGCAGCAGCTTTAAAACAGTGCATCTCAATTTTAAAGTTCCTCTGCATTCAGGTTGTTATCAAGTCTGCTCCCATTGGTGTATGTGTATTAGCCTCCTAAAATCCAATCTTTACTTTCTTTCTTTCTTTTTTTTAAGTTAGAACAGAGGTGTGTCTCATATTAAGTACAATCCAGGAAAGGGTTTGCATGCCAAATAAAAATTATCATTACCACATCATAGCATGTACTCAACTGCTTCCACCGAGGTGCAATTCTCAGTAGCTCTGATTATTATTATTATTATTATTATTATAAAGCACTATAAAACAAAGAAAAGACAAAATATCTGTGGGCAGAAATATAAACTATCTAATGGCACATTAGGCTTTAATAATGATGACAAAACATCCTCTGATTACCAGACATTTTCTACACAGAGAAATATCTGGAAAATGGCTCAGCAGCATAATGCCTGTTCACAGCCTGTTCCTTACAGAGAAAACAAACAGAAGGGTGAGGGTGACCTCTGCAGGCCGTTCACTTCCAAAACCTTTAGTTTCAGTTATCAACACTTAACCAACTTTTAGAAATGAATTTCAAAAAAATGAATGTCACACAACAACATGAAAATAATTCAATTAATTTCAGAACATGACCTGCAGTGCTTTCACTGTACCTTTAGGCGCCCGACGTTTCTTGGGTTCAGTAGCAACAGGGAGCTGAAATATGTGACAAACAAGACAAGCAGAAAAATAAATAACAGCAAACAGGAGTCTGAAAGTCAAGTGAAAAACAAAAGTTTCCTCAGGATTCTATGCAGGCCTGTGAAAACCTACATCATCCTTACTTCTTCTATATGAATTAAGAAGGTCAGTAGCCGCCAGCCAATCAGATGTACTTAATTAACTCATCATTGGCAAGTGTGAGCACCTCTATCAAAGATGATGTTTTCTTTTAGTTTGCTGGTTTGGAGTAAACAGGTGTGTTTTAACACAATGCAACAACCTTCCCAAGGCGTCCCTTCAAAATCACCCCAAGGTCAGATGTTTACTGCTCAGAGAAAATGCAGGAAAAAAATTCCAAGCACTACATCTCAGACTCTAAAGGCCTCAGTCAGCATGTTTCAATTTAAAGTTCATGAGAGCACAATTAGAAAAAACAGTTATGGCTTTTCTGGCAGGATTGTCAGGAGAAAGCCTGGCATCACAGCTTAGGTTTGAACCAAACTCCAAGAGTTCTGAAAAATGTCCATTGGACAGATGAGATCAAAGTACAGATCTTTGGTCATGATGCACAGCGCTGTGTATGGTAAAGATCAACACAGCATATCAGCACAAACCCCTCATACCAATACCATGGGTGTGTTTTGTAGCCAGAGGACCTGAGCACCATGTTATTGACTCGATCATGAACTCTCCTGCATAAAAAAAGTGCAAGAGAATGGCTGAAAAAGAAAACAATCAAGGTGTTGCAATTGTCCAGTTAAAGTCCACACCAAAACCTGACTGAAATGCTGTTCCAGGACCTTAAGAGAACTGTGCATAAACAAATGCTCACAAACCTTAATGAACTGAAGCAACTTTGTGAAGATAAAGTCATGCAGAAAAGTATTACTAATAATTATTACAAGTTATTGCTTTTACATGGTACATCTACAGGCTATTGAATCATGGGGTGTACTTGGTTTCTCAGAGCACTGCACAGAGTCCTGCAAAAACACATGACTGTTCACATGACTGTGGTACACAGTAAAATAATCCTCGGGCAGCCCTCACCAAAATACAGAAAATCCTGTCCACTCAAAAACTGAAAGAAGGCTGTGTGGGAATGTGGGCCAACAAGCTGAATGGCATGTGTGTTTACTTAATGAACAGAGAGAGAGAGAAAACACTCTTTCCCAATCAAACAGTAGAAGCATGCAGATCTGTAGGGTTGGATAGACTTGGTGACCAAACACTGCCTATTTGTCACCAATTCAGTTTATAACTTCTATGGACAGAATTTCTAGGCATAACCAAAACATACTGGAGAGATTATGTCTCTCAACTACTCTCTCTTCTCAGTGTTCCTCCAGAAGAGCTGGAGGAGGTGAAAGGGGAGAGGGTTGTTTGGGGGTCTGTGCCAGCATTCTGCCACCACATCCCGAATAACCATCAAATGAAAGGATGAATGGAATGATATATTACATTAATGCATTTTATTACAATTGTTGAGATGTACCGGTAAAATTTTGCAATGTAACGTGCTCCTGTGTATGTTCTGTTCAGTGACTGCAACAACAGTAACATTTGCTATCTTCACAATGTACAGGTAGATGCACGCATGCGCAGTTCTTCTCGCGTCACATATTTTTCTTCCCATATTTGACCTCACTTGTGGATTGTTTTGGATGTGGTTGCTGATGCTTAGCAGTTTATTGATATTCTCTACATGTCATTACACGCTGAAAGTTATTATGCCACAGCGATAATATAACTGTGATTGGTCGTAAGCCGGTTAATGAAAAGCTGCTTGATAACGTTTTCTACGTTATCGTATATTAAGGGTGGGCTAAAGCTTCCCAAACAGTCCACAGCAATCCTGCCATTCTGCCACAGCTACAGCTGTCAGCGTTAAGGTTTAAATTCGCCCTTGAGTGAGTGAGATTAGTCTCGCAAGTTGCCGTTAGCTGCAGCTTAATCAACTTAGCGCCGACTTAGAATAGGCTAGCCACCTAGCTAACTAACGTTCAAGTAAGCGTTATAGAAAGCGTGTGGTAAAACCTGGCGTCGGGCTTTCTCGCGAAGTGTCACACTTTCATTATATTTCGAGTCAAGTTTGTGTTTATTCAAGAAAAGGAGGAGCAGCTCGCATCGCACTCACCGTTGCGGTTGTTTCCGCGTCCGCCATCTTGGGATGATCAACACTAGAAGCTGTTGCCATGGATACGTCAATGGCGCGCAGACACGTAGCTGGTTGGATTTGTGCTCTCGGATTAAAGAAAAAAAAACTTTATTTACAAAAAAGGGTTTAAAAACCATTTTTCGTCTTTCATAGTTTTCACTCGATAAGATTCTGTGTATTCTTAATAAATAATTACACCACATGATTCAGTAGCTTGTAAAATCACTTTTAGCAGCAAGAACTTAAACTAATGATTTTCTGTATGGCTTTATCAGTCTTTTAAATCATTGCAGAGGAATTTTGGCCCACTCTTCTTTACATCATTTATTTAGTTCATTGAGGTTTGCAGATATGTGTTTATGCACAGCTCTCTCGAGGGCCCAGAACAGCATTTCAGTCAGGTTGAGGTCTGGACTTTGACCAGGCCATTGCAATCTTTTCTTTTCATAGAATTGATGCTGTGCTTGGGATCTGTGTCCTGTTGTGTATCGTCACTTTTATAGACTATTTCAGTATACACAGGAGTTCATGGTTAACTTAGTGATTGCAAGCTGCCAGATCCCATAGCTGCAAAACAAGCCCAAATCATCACCCTTCCTTAGTATAAGGTGTTTGTTTTTATCAGACATGCCATTGTCAAACGTCTCCGTTTTTTTCCTCCATAATAAAAGATCAGCTGATGTTAGTAACAGACCCTTTAAATCCTGTAAGTTGGCTGAAGTTCAGCAGAGGAAAGGGGTCAGCGTGTACACTGACTATACACACATTCTCACACCTTTCTATCAGAACCACGCTTAAATATTTAGGCAATTTGAGCTATAGTAGCTCGCCTGTTGGATCGGACCACACAGCACAGCCCATAACCCTGACGCTGGTTCACCCCTGTTCCATCCTTGGACCACTTTTGATAGATAATAATACACTTCTAAGAAGACCACTTCCAAGACTTCAATTCAGAATTTTATAGACAGTACAGTTTATTGAATGTTAAGATTGAGAATCAATTTCCAATGCATACCCCAGCAGTAAATATGTTTAAATAAGTCACCAATATTTACATAATCTTAACACATTTTGATCACAAGAAAACTTCACCAGTTGTTCCACAGGCTACAGATAAAACAGGGCATTAAAAGTCTTGAACGTGAATGGTCACACAAAGATTTGTATGTTACTTCTGTTTAAAGGCACTGAGGTACAAACATCAGATTGGGAGTATACAGTGTTTATATACTTTTTACACACACACACACACACACACACACACACACACACACACACACACACACACACAAAGAGAGAGAGAGAAACACTCAAACCTAATTACAAGGTGCAGACAGGAAAAACAGGAAATATTACATTAACATGTAGTAAAACTACCATGGGCACAAAGTCAAAAATATTGTTCCTTCTACTCATTAATGCACTTTTCATGTAAATACATTCAAATTCTATACTTCCAATAACTTTACATTAATGAACCAGTACCCCCCCCCCCCCTTTCATTTTAATCACAGCAAGTCTCTGTATTATGCCAAGTTTTCTTAACATGAATTAAAAGGTAACATCTTCATTTGCTTCAAGAACAGCTTTAAGCCTCACTTCATCAAAAAGAAATATCAGTAAGCAGATAAAACAGTACAAATGACCTCTTTATCCCATCACCTTCATTAATCAGCAGCTCATCCTGTTGTCATATACACATCAAAACATCAAATTTGGAGATCAACGTTCAAACTGCACAGTAATGTAACAGTATGCATTTATTATCATTTATACTTTTACAGGACATCCACTGTGCATAAAGCGTATTATCGGTATTAATGCACTTATAGTCAGGATAGTTATCCTGCAAGGTTCTGTATGCTGCTGTAATGTGAAAAACATTTTGTAGATCCATTGTTCACAGATGGGGAAAAAAAAAAAACATTCTCGTGTCAAGTGAGAATCCAACCTTGGACAAAGAGTTTATATTTCAAGCCTCAGTATGTCATTCCTACATTAGCAGGAAAAAATCCTGATACTTTTTACCGGGATCTTTAAGAATTACTGGATTTAAATCAGTGTTTCTTGTATTGCAGATCATCTCACATGTATCTCTTTAGTCTACTCTGTTAAATGCTTTCAATAGCGATGCAGTGATGAAATGTTACAATTTTATTTGTGTGGCGGCCTCACCTTGCTCTTTAAACCCCAGCTTCAGATTTCCTACTGGACATTTCTCTAAAGCATAAATGAATATGACATATGCTGATGAGATCTGTGCAGGTCTTTACAAGTTCCATCCATTTTATTTTTGCATTTTATAATCTTTTTACCTTTTTTTTTTTTTTTTTTTTTAAATTAATGTACCATCTCATTATTAGTTCGTCAATCATCTATGAAGCTCTTTGAATTGCACTGTCCTTCATCAAAGGTGCTATACAAATAAAGTTTAACTGAGGGTAGGTTCCTATTCTTGGAAGATGACTTTAGCTACACATCTTCCTAAATTACACAATCTTTATTATTATTTAGTTTTTTAGTGGACATGGAGAACTGAGACACCCCACTTGGTATATTACTCATAAGTTACTTGCTTTTTGCCCTTTTCCCTAAAAATTCCTTTACACCAACTGCATAATGTTGGGACGTGGCTAGCCCGGTATGCTGGTCAGAAAAGAGAATAGCCAGAGACACAAAACTTGTAGAAATCACACTAATTTTGGCTGCTGCCAAAGGCTCCCTGGGCAGCGGAGGTAGCAGCGGAGGTAGCAGCATTTTGGACAGTTCGGTTGCTCAGGACACCTTGTGAAAACTCCTGCTGGGCCTTGGTGAAGCTGGCACCTGTGTTTCTGTATTTAGAGTGGACCTAGGATGATGGGAAAAGACAGAATATTTTAAACAATGACAGGAGATCAAATGATGAAACGGTGTTTAACCTGCTGGTTCCTGTAAGGTTCAGTCCATGGTTCTTATGTCTACAAAGGAGCTCATGAGATCAGTTTCATTGATCTGTTAGTGAGGAGGATATCTGAAAATACAATAGATATCTAGTGGAGACTAGGAACAGACTTTTTTTTAACGGTTGTTTTTGTCCCCCCCCCCTTTTGCATTAAGATGAAATATTGTGTCCACTTTCTAATTAATTATTGTCTTTAAAAACCAAAAGACACTCCTGGAATTTCTACATGGAGGTAAGTCTGTACAGTAAGTGCATTCAGCACACACACTTGGTTTGAAAATTTCCTCTGAAGCTGTTCAAAGTTTTTGTCACCACCCGATGTTTAGTTTGTCTTTGATGTAGCTTCCAGATATAAATGAGAAAAAATAACATTTATATGTGTACGCAGTATAAGTCATCGACAACTGTCAGTGCGCCCCAGGGTGGCTGTGGCTACAATGTAGGCTTGCCATCACCAGTGTGTGAATGTGTGTGTGAATGGGTATGTAAAGCGCTTTGGGGTCCTTAGGGACTAGTAAAGCGCTATATAAATACAGGCCATTTACCATTTTAAAACATGTTTAAAATACTTGGCTTAGGGTTCTTCAGTTCATCAAGATACATTATATTGAATCTGACAGGTTCATAATAAAATAGTAATCAGATTACCTATAAAAATACGATATGTAAACAGAAGTTTTACTTTTGCGTACCATTTTCAGCAGGATGACAGCCAGCACAGAGTTTACAGTGAAAAATCCAGCCACTACCATCATAACCACAGCCACAGCCGGGTTCGCCTTGATGATGGTGATTGATGTTATCCATCCACTGTCAAAACCAGAAACATGCAAGAGGAAAAAAGGTGTAATTTCACATTTTCTCTGTAATTATTATAGTACACTGAAATTCTTTTTTTTGTGGATTAAAGAGAAATACACAAACAACCAGATACCAAATGTAAAGCATGAAGTTTGTAAAAATGACACATGGAAACCTGAGGAGCTTTATACATGATAGAAAAGAACTCCCAAAATAAAAGTTACACACACTTACAAAGCAGCAACCCAGATTTATTAGGGCAGCAGGAATCTGTCAAAGAAATGCAATAGAGGAGAGACAGGAGAAGAATTCACACACAAACACGTGTGAATGAAGAAATGTGGTGGTCCATGCACACTGAATGTATCCCAAAGCAGCATGCACATTCATACAATGAAAAACAGAATCTTGGTGCACTTCCACCACACGTTCAGGTAGTGTAGGAAAAAAGAAAAAGAAAATAAATCCCACTGACCTGTTGCCCCAATGGGGAATCCCCACAGTTTGGATAATGTAAACTGCCACTTGGAAGAAGAAGACGAAAAAGAAGAAAAAGAAGCTGAAAGAGCTGTCAGACCTATGGAGGGAAAAAAGGGGACACATTATTAATGCGAAGGTGCTCACTGGTTTGCTGACATATTGCACAATAGAGATAATAAGTTTCACAATCGCATGAAGTCATAAAAAAGAGTCTGGAGGTCATTTACAGTTTGAAGACTTGTATTAAAGTTCATAAGTGTAAACAATACCAGTGACACAGCATACCTAAAGGCCTTGTAGACCGGCCTGTACCAACAGACGAAGGCCACAGGGGTGAACAGAATGAACCAAAGAATAGCCAGACCAAAGTCAACGCCATAGTTACTGTCAATGGTGAAGCAAGCCAGGCAGGCCAGCACGTTGAGGAAGAGAGTGGCACTGTGGACTGGAGAGGTGCAAAAGAAAACCAGTGACGCAGACATACACTTATAATACAACACTGCTTATAAAAAGCTCCGGTGAACCAAACTCTGTGCACTTTTAAACTAATAGGCATGAATGGTGTCTTTATTATTGTTATTATCATCTCCTTCGTAACAAATTAATTTCCCAAATGTGAGGTAAATAAATTATTTCTCGACGTTTTAGTGCAGCAATTGTGACTAAACAATCTTTTAATGGATAAAGTTATAAATCATGATTCATTTGTAAAGAAAAAAGTAAGAACTTCAGCAAAAGTATGAGTGGAAAGTCTTGATACATATTTAAATTTAGCATATTAAAAGCTGAGATCTGATGTACTATACCATCCTTTTAGGTCAGTGATTGGCATATAAAATGCTACAATCAGGGGTACATACACATCCAGAGGTAGTACATTCTCTTGCACATCCTGCGGTAGTCCTCGGGGATTTCCTCCTCAAAATTCTGATAAAAGCAGGGCTTTATAGGGAAGAACCTTGGAAGAGGTGGCCAGTTGTTCTCTTTAGCTGACAGGAAAAGATTTAAAAACCTTATTATCATTTAAGACTTAACACATACTCAACACAACTACATCAAATACCTGCAGCCACTTACCTCCGGGGTTCGATGCGCTGCCTGCCTGCCTCCTGTTCTCTAGCTCCTGTTCCTTCCGCTCCAGCTCTGCTGCTTTCCTCTCCAGCTCCTCCTGCTGTTTGATCAGGTTAGCCTGGGCAGCAGCTGCTTTAGCCTGATGTGTGATAGCAGACCTGCATCTTAATACTGTCTTCAGCATTGTTGAACACAATTTCCTCATACATGTACTGCACTAAAATAACCATCCAAAGTAGGGCTGAACGATATATCGCATTTGCGATAATATCGCGACATGATCAAGTGCAATTTTCTAACCGCAAAGGCTGCGATTATACTCTGGACATGTCCAAATTCATGGGCTGCATCC